GTGATGCGCTTTAATAGGGTGATCATGGCCAATATATGCAAGTACGTTTCTTTGAATTCAGGGTTCATGGTGAACTGTCCAAGTATTTCCGCAATACCATTATACCGATATTTAATATCGCTACTAGTCCACTTATTAATGTCAGTGCGTAAACCTTCTAAACACGATGAATCGTCTAAGATATTCTTAATTTCATTCTCAGCTTGTGTTGAGTCAGACTCATTTGAAGCTTGGTACACCTTAATCGCTAATCTAGCCGACTCAACTTTAGCCAATAATGGGTTCCTCAGCATTAGCCAATTTTCCAATTCGCTACACAGAGATCGCCATTTTTCGACTTTATTATTAACCCCAAACCTTTTGGTGGCTACACTCCAGCCATGACCCTTCATTAAATTTTCTAAGTCTGAAAACGCAGCTATTACATTACTAGTCACCGTTGAAATTATATCGCCATTATCCTGTTTAACAGCACCTCTGGTGAGTTCAAGTAGGTCAACGAGACGTGGATCAGGTTTATTGTCAAATGTTGGCACGTCTAAACTAACAGAGTCCAATTTGTGCTTTCGTATTTTCTGAATGAGCTTAATAACTTCGACCGCTAAACGAGCTTTATCAGGGTAAAATGATTTTGTAATCGACGTTTGCGGCGATAATAACGTTAAATCGGGATTTAGTTTGTCTGTAGCCAGAGAAAATTGGCGAATTAAAATAAGCATGTCAAAATTATCAAAACATAATGCTTCGAGTTTTGCTTTCCTAAATACAAACAATAATGGCGCCGAATACATATTATTTAAGCCTAAGCTACCGGCGATCCAGTCACTATCCAGGTCATCAAATTCCGCCATGACAATTTTTAATTTTTCAACCGCTTCCATAGCTGTGTCAATGGCACCTAAGCATACATAGAATTTCCAATTTTTATTACTCAGCGAGGTTAATAGTTGTATTGTGTGAGGTGGCGATCGCGAAAATATTATCGTTTTAGGTAATTTTAAAGTTTCAATAACGGTATTCATCTCAATTAGATTAGGTTTGTCGAGTGGTAAAATAATTTCCGATAATGATGCATTTAATGCATGGAAGTAACATTCAGAATCTGAGTTTATACCGACAATAGCGCATATACAACCTAGTACAAACGGAATATCGTTTGGCTCGTGAGTTACTGTATCACCTTCAACCTTTATTATCATCGAAAATCCATCTGATATACTTGGTAACGCTAACCCAATTTGAATATCAAGATCTTTTAGTGTGTTGCTTATTTTAAATAAACGCGTGAATACACCATCTGGCGGTGTGCCTAATGTGTTTAAAAATATTTTAATTTTCGATTCCGTGTTAAGCCATTGTTTTAACGAGGTCATATTTGTGAACCTGATGATTCCAGCATTCATATCAATAGCATCTTTGTCGTGAATACCACTTAACTCGGTAACACCTTGCGATACAAAATATTCAACTTTAGCATCCACGTCTACCACGCTGAAGTTAGAATTTGCGTAATCGTTAACAATGTCAAGAAGTTCGTCCACGGTACATTTGGCTCGTTTAAACGCATCAAGAGCTGTGAAACTACGTTTAAAGAATTTGTCCGATGTTTGTTTTAACAGCTTTTCATAGGCCATAACTTCCACCGTTAGGGGAGATTCTAGGTCGTCTAATATTACGCACAAGCGATTATTCTTGGCAATCACCTTGCTCTTAATATAGCCGACAAGACGAAAATCATGAAGGGCTGTGAGCATGTCAGTAAAATTTTCCATTACGTCGTCCTTCATTTTCACGTATAACCTTTCAATTTGGACATCTAAAAACTGATTAATCGGTACGAGTACGAACCGTATGGGAACGCCCTGTATTTCGGAGTTGACCACTCGGAAGTGTTGCTCATTCGATATGTATTTATCGATGCTCTCGACCATTTCAAACATTTCTTTCACGGTAGATGGTTGATTTCGCATGGGCGGTTTCGAATGAATAGTTATTCGTTTTTCGAAATTACTGGCCTTGGTTGAATCCAAAAAGTCGAGTTGCGCTTTAAGCTCGGCATTAATGGGTCCGAACGCCATTTTGCCGACTATACTACCATGCACGTGATCGGTGTAGTCGGAACTCGTTTGTTTGATCGACAATTCTGCGTTTACCTCACCACCAAGTACTACACCGCGTACCACGTGTGTGGCGTGAATTTTACCCTTCATCAATTGTTCGGTCACGTGCTGATCCATGACCTCTTTGGCGGCCGGTAATAGTTCGACGCTGTACATTTCGACATTGTACTAGAATGAGCACGATAAATTTGAAAGTTAAAGCATCATAAAAATAATCAATTTACTATAAGCCGTGTAATGTTTTCATAAATCTAATTAAATTATCAAGTATATGAAATGATTTATTTTAGGTTTATCACGTAAATTAGCGAGCTTAAAAATTAGCAATATTTTATAATTTATATTTTATGATTAGTCTTTGCTTACAAATCGCTATAATATCGCATATCAAATTGAATCGAGGTTTACATTCATGAGCTACAGAGCATAGTTTCAATTAATTATTTGTAAATTTAATTTTGACAGCATAAAATTATAAATTAAGAAAAATATAAACAAGGATTAAAATCTAACACATTAAGCTACAAACACATTGGGTCTGGGTGTTTATTTCAGTTGTAGTGCACGCACACATTCAAACATACGGTCACTGCATAAAACATTGTGTCAGTGGGTTTTAAATTGTTAAGTAATCAGTTAAATAAATTAATAATTTAAAGATATAATTTTTAACTAGCTGTTTACTAGTAAAGTAACAATATCAATAAAAATCTATAGTAATTTTTTATTTATAAAGAACTACCTGTAATATTTTAATAACTATTAATCCTTTCAAGACATTTTAATATAATTTACTACGCAGTTAAATTATTAATTTTTATAATGATATATGCTGATCTTGAAATTATAATTACAGTTTTCAAATAACCAATGTTGAAAACTTAAAGAAATTAATAAATAGTTGCAACATTAGTCATTACTTTATGAATAAGCTACTACGTAAAATTTATAAATAATAGTCGTACTGCTAATAATGACAATTTCTCAAGCACCATTCATTCGTACATATTTACATAATATAGCACTCATAGCTATAGATCATTGTTAACCAGTAAGTTTCAAAAGTAGGTATCATTTACATTTAGTAATGCTATAAGTATTATAATTTGTAATAAATTGTAACACATGGAACTGGCTGCTGTTAACAATGCCACATACATACACTGATACAATAAAAAATAAAAACACGGACACATACCTTACATATTAGGCGTTCCTCATTCAAACTTTTAGTATCGGTTCGCGAATACCCGGCCGTCGCCTCGACGGTAATTAAACCGTTCAACAGTTCCAATTTGAACAAACCCTCGAGTTTGACATTCTTGAGCACATCTCTCGTGCTCTGTAAGTGTGTCAGGGAGTACTCCCACGACTTAATGGGCCGGGTGATTAGGTGGTCGCTTTTCAGGTGCTTGGCAAACAGGTTGAACCCGCACCCTTTGGACCGATTGCAGTCCCATAAATCACCCAGACCGTGCACACTGTCCTTGATGTTTGGCAATATGATCACGGCATCTTCCACGTACTCGGTGTCCATAATGAATTAGTTATATTATAATAGCGAGTAAAATTAATTATTATTTTGTAGCTTACAAAACATTGAATAAGTATTTAATGAAAACGTTTTATTATATATTTTATTTGAGAATTGTGTAGATTAGATAAGTTATTTAATTTTTAAATTGACCTTGATCATGGGTCAAGTAGTTGAACATCTACGCTTTCCGTATTAATGTGGTGAACAAAATATATAATAATTCAATATATACAAGTAATGTAAATAATTTTATAATGCCAAATAGGCAACATTTTTGATAAAAACTTAATGATAAGTTTTAATCAGTAACCTTGACAATTTTTAATAAAATTTCTTTTAATCAAAAATGTTTTCTGAGATTTTTGTTAAGCAATATAAATTATTGTATTTGTAATATAAAATAACTAGCATACATTTAATAATAATTTTTAAATTACAATATTTTATATTATTTTATACTAGGTTATTATAGTAACATGTTTGATTAAAAAATCACATAATAAAACGTTATCATTTTTAAAACGCTTTTAAAATCTTATTATCTATATTTTCTTTTTGACATTATACAATGTTTATTATTTATAAATATTACAATTATTATTAAACAATATAAAATATTACATTGTTATAATAAAATAAAACAAATTATTATATATATCTATATTAACTACTACTAACAATTAAATACAATAATATTATATTGGTTTGCTTTATAAGTACTGTCGTCGACCTTTATTTAAAACCTGTGCTAGTTAAAATTAAACAAAAAAAATACTTTCTTTCGCTTTCTTGTGACTACAAGTCCCAAAAGTTATATTTAGACCACAGCACCGGTATGCTACTAGCACCGGCTGATGCTCTGAGACTCAAACTATAAGAGATACAGAAATGATCAGGGTACCATTCGAAAGAACATCGAAATTTAAGGATACATGCCCATGATAGATTTTCCATAAAATGTTTAGTTTTAGCACTGGGAGGCCGGATACCAGTGTGAAACCAAATTTCTACTAAATTTTAAAATTAAACCAAACGAGCTAGAACAAAATTATAATATGGAAAATGTAGATAATTCAATTCTCTATCAATCCATAATTTTACAGATTTTTACTAACTTGCAGCACCGGGAGGAAATGGCGATTTTATTGTAACATTACTGGAAGTCTCAGGATAAATTTAATTAGTAGGCTGGATAGATCTCAAAGATTGAATAAGATCTATGTTTCAATTTTTCAAATATCTCACCAAATAACTGTTCTGGAGCCTTTCAAAGATTGGATTTTACCATTGATTACTGCTATAGCTTATTACTGCATCAAATAAAAAATCCAAAATCTTTTTCAATGGCAGTAATTAATGGTAAAATCCAATCTTTGAGAGACTCCAGAACAGTTATTTGGTGAGATATTTGAAAATTTGAAACGTAGATCGAAAATGATACTTTATTTTTCTTATTATGAAACACTGTATTTTTATTTTGTTAATTTAAAATAGAAACACATGCTCTTATTAATTTATCAATGATATCCGGGTGATAAAACTTTATATATAAATAATAGAAAATAATCGTAAAATTACTTATTATTAACAAAACAACTTAATTTATTAATTAAAAATTAATTTACTTCAGTAATCATGAAATATTTAATGATTGTATCACTTTTACTATGGACAACAAATTGTATGTATCTAATATATTTTTAATAAATACTAATAAATATCTATCTAACCTGGTCAAATTAATTAATTCTTATTATTAGTGTCCGAGTCGACACCTACCGGTGCATGCAATGGCACATATACGGTGGACGAGATTGAAAATGAATTGAAAGTCGTGAAAATAGATGTGAATAATGAACTGGCTAAATTAGACAGTGAGGGTCGGACTGCCGAGGGCTTGGAGTTAATAGCATACATGGAAAGTATTAACGGACTGATTGAGGCAATTGAAATGAGCAAGCCAACACCCCTACCCGATACACAAAACATGACATGTCGAGTTGAGCATGGTGTTGCCGCTGAGATTGCACGTTTAGAGGGATAATTTAATATAACACTTAATTTTAGTGCAATATTCCTACCTAGAGGTCCTGGAGCTTATACCTCGCAGTATTCTTATACAATTACTTAAGGCACCCACCAGTATTGTTGGCACATTGAAAATGCTTATGATTTTCGTGTGTATTATTGAAAAGTAGAATAGGAAGATGGGATAAGCGAACTCGATTGAAACACTCCTTGGGGGTCAAAATGGCCGAAAACCAAATGGCTAAATGCTAAATGGAATTTAGCCGCTAGATGGCAATAACTGTAAAAATTTAAATAATTCATAGCTCCTGAACGGGTAATGGTAGAGACTTGCGGTAAGTATCATAATTTGGGCCAACAACCGGAGCACGTGGTGGCCGATAATGCCGAACCATTCCATCCACATCCTGATCCAGAATTTCTTGCAAATTTGTTTCCTGCAAATTTGGATCAAAATGTCATTAATGATGGAGACATTGAAATTATTAATGAGAATCCAAACGCCAATTAATGTGATAAATATTGTGATTATAATTATTTAAATTTATAAAACATTTGTAAATTTCTCATTGTATTATT